CTAAACCTCTCGACACCTGCAAAGCAAGCGGCTGACACCAAAACATGGCTGCAGAGAAAGCTTGGCACTTGCATTTAGTTGGTGGAACCCAACTTGCGTTTACTAGTAAAACCCTAGCTGCCCACACTTTTGGAAACTGTAGTTACACGGAAAAGATAAACTAAAAGGAGGTTTGGAACAGATACTGAATTCCAATCTCCTCTGTCCACTTGGGCCACCAGTTTGGTTCTTAACCCTGTATCCACACTCCTAGGCAAACTTCCAAACAACAGCAACGGCAGTAGCACCATTTCCCACTTGAAATAATGCACCTGCTCTCACTGAGACAAAGCACGCCTCCGTACCTCCAGCCCAGCTGCTTTTATTGTCTTCTGTACCTTTGGTGTTCTGCAGTTTATCTTGGGATTTGTTGGACTCCTTGAATCTGCATCCTGGTGTCTTTCATTGGTTCTGGGAAATTCTGTTTTCAAATACTGTTTCTGTCCCATTTTCTCTCCTTTTTTTTTTTTTTTTTTTTTTTTTTTTACCTTGGCTTTTATTTTATTTTTTTCTCTGTCTTTGTTTCTTGGATATAATTGAGTTTACAGTTAGGTCTGGTAACTAGTTGTATCCTTTCTTCATAGACAAGTCACCTCAAGCAGCAAAGGACAATAACAAGTAAATGGATATAACTCTGTCTTTGTTTCTTTATTGTACAGTCATACACCGCATAATGACATTTTGATCAAAGATGGACCACTCATACAGCAATAGACCCGTAAAATTACTAGTTTAGTGGAGCTAAGCACTTCCTGGTTATGTAGCCATTATAATGTCATGGCACAATGCATTACCCATGTGTTTGTGGTGATGCTGTGTAAACAAACCTACTGCACTGCCAGTCCTGTAAAAATATAGCCCATACAACTATGTACAGTATATAATGCTTGATAATGATAAATGATTATGTTCCTAGTTAGGTATTTACTATACTTTTTATCAGTATTTTTTATTTTTTTTTAAAAAAATATTTTTATTGATTTCAGAGAGGGAGAGAGAGAGAAACATCAATGATGAAAGAGAATCATGGACTGGCAGCCTCTTGCATGTCCCCGACCGGGGATCAAGCTTGCAACCCGGGCATGTGCCCTGACTGGGAATTGAACTGTGACTTCCTTGTTCATAGGTTGATGTTCAACCACTGAGCCATGCCGGCAGGACTTTATCGGTATTTTAGAATGTACTCTTTCTACTTATGAAAAAATTTGCTGCAAACCACTATGCTATGTTATGCTGACAGCAGTCTCATACATCTTGTGCTTATGGTGTCTCTTTTTTAAAAATAAATGTATGTAATATTTTTATTGATTTCAGAGAGGAAGGGAGAGGGAGAGAGAGATAGAAACATCAATAATGAGGGAGAAACATTGTCGGCTGCCTCCTGCATATCACCCGACCTCCTTTGGGATCAAACCTGCAACCAGACATGTGCCCTGACTGGGAATCAAAACATGACCTCCTGGTTCATAGGTCTACGCTCAACCACTGAGCTGTGCTGGCCAGGCTACTATAATGTCTCTTGACTGCATCATTATCTCTTGTGCTTGATTTAATCTCATGTTATTTTGTTCACCATGGCCCCTAAGTGTGCAAAATCCACTGTTAATGTTGCCAGTGAGAGGCCATATCCAGTGATTGACCTGGAAACAAAATTAAAAATGATTAAGGACTAGGAAGGTGGAAAATCAGCTCACCAATTAGGCCTGTCCCATTCCACCAGAGTTAGGATTCTGATGAACAAGAACAAAGTGGCAGAGCTGTTAAAATATCTGCTTCAGCCGTAGCTGGTTTGGCTCAGTGATTAGAGCACATGTGTCAAACACAAGGCCCGCGGGCCAAATCCGTCCCGCCAGGCCTTGCAATGTGGCCCGCACCGCGCTGTCATCACTGCACTCCGCTGCGTTTCCATCACAATGACAGTTTATGACTGTTCAGTAAACCATTCGGCCCGCGATTTAGGCTGGATTTTAGATTTTGGCTCCTTCTCTGATTGAGTTCGACACCCCTAGATTAGAGCATGGGCCTGTGACTGAAAAGTCCCAGGCACAATTCCGGTCAAGGGCACATACCCAGGTTGTGGGCTCCATCCCCTGTGGGGTGTGTAAGAGGCAGCTCATCAATGATTCTCTCTCACTGATGTTCCTATTTCTCCCTCTCTCTTCCTCTCTAAAATAAAAATATTATAAATAAAAAATAAATTTAGTGTAGTCTAAGAGTAGTGTGTGTCAAGTCTACAATAGTGCAGTAATGTCCTAGGCCTCCACATTCACTCACTCACTCACTCACTCACTCACTCACTCACGTGGAGCAACTTGCAGTCCTGTAAGCTCCATTAATGGTAAGTACCCTATGCAGGCTGGACCATTTTACAAGTTTTATACCATTTTTTGTACTGTACCTTTTCTATGTTTAGATACACAACTTACTGTTGTGTTACTATTGCCTACAGTATTCAGTACAGTAACATGTGGTACAGGTTTGTAGCCTAAGACTATCAGGGTATACCATTTAGCCTAGATCAGTGGCCGGCAAACTCATTAGTCAACAGAGCCAAATATCGACAGTACAACGACTAAAATTTATTTTGAGAGCTGAAAACCGACTTCTGCGCATGGGCCACGAAGTTTTTTTTTGTGTTTTTTTTTTAAATATATTTTATTGATTTTTTACCGAGAGGAAGAGAGAGTTAGAAACATCAATGAGAGAGAATCACTGATCAGCTGCCTCTTGCACACCCCCTACTGGGGATGTGTCTGCAACCAAGGTACATGCCCTTGATTGGAATTGAACCTGGGACCTTTAGGTCCGCAGGCCGACGCTCTATCCACTGAGCCAAACTGGTTTTGGCATGGACCACGAAGTTTTAATCGCACTGTACGTGCGTGCACGCACGTGGTATTTTGTGGAAGAGCCACACTCAAGGGGCCAAAGAGCAGCACGTGGCTCGCAAGCTGGCGTAGGTGTACCATCCAGGTTTGTGTAAGTTCACTCCATGCTGTTTGTGCAATGAAGAAATTGCCTGATGACACATTTCTCAGAATGTGTATCCTGTCATTAGACAATGCATGACTGTATTTTGAATAATTTCTTTCAACTTATCTCCCAGTTCACAAATTCTCGCCTGTTAAAATTGATAATCAGCTCTTTGATTTCAACTATTATGACAATGTTTTTAATTTCTAGAAATTTTATTTGCTCATTAAAAAAACACGTTACATTGCATTTTTAGTTTTTAGTTTCTACATATACTTAAAAGCGAATCATTTATTTCTTAAACAGAGTAAAAATAGTTCTCTGAAATAACTGATAATTTCAATAGTTTATTTTATTTTTTTATTTGGTTGTTTTATTTTTTAAAATATATTTTTATTGATTTCAGAGAGGAAGGGAGAGGGAGAGATAGAAACATCAATGATGAGAATCATTGATCAGCTGCTTTCTGCACTGATTGGGGATTGAGCTTGAAACCCGGGCATGTGTCCTTGACTGGAATTGAAGCCGGGACCCTTTGGTCCACACGCTGACACCCAATCCACTAAGTAAAACCAGGTAGGGCATCAATATATATATATTTTTTATAGGCTTCTTTGTCTATTATTTTGTTGGTACTTCCTCATGATGCCTTGTTTCCTTCATGCTTAATTTATTTATTAAATCCTCACCTGAGGATATTTTCCCATTGATTTTTAGAGAGAGTGAAAGAGAAAAGGAAACATCGACTGGTTGCTTCCTGCATGAGCCCTGACCAGAGCCCGGGCTGTGGAGGAGCCTGCAACTGAGGTATGGGAATCGAACCTGGGACCCGTTGGTCCCCAGGCAGACGCTTTATCAATTGAGCCAAACCAGATAGATGGGTCATGCTTTATTTTTACTGTGAGCTGCTAATTTTCCTTGAAAATTTTTCTATGGAAATTCCTCCAGAAAAGTTTTACATCTACTTCCTCCTTCTGGGCATCTCAGTGTATTGCCAGTCCAAGACTATTTTAAACTGAATTTGAACTACCTAGGACCTAGGTGACAGGAAGGATGCTTATCTACAAGGCAGTAAGCTTGCGGTTACAACCTATAATAAATGTTTATTTTCCCCTCCCCCCATTTCCTGTAAATTTCCAAGACAACTTTCTTGAGGTCTTCTGGTCATGAAATAGATTGGAATAAGGTAAGTTTTTTTTCCCTCTTTATCCCTATCCTGAGGACGTAAATCCTTGGGGGTTGGGGTCCCAGTTTTATGGGGAATGGATCTCCCTTAAGAGGGGGTGGGAGGTTATAAAACTGAAGCTCAATTTTTCTAGGTTTGGCAAATGCCTTCAGGACAAAAGTATACACCATCCTTCACTTACCTCTTAGTGTTATTTTCTCCTATTTTTGCCTTGTAATTTTTTTTTTTTTTTTTAAAGAACCCTTTGGAGGGGTTCTGAAGTTGAAATGTTTAATGTTAGCTAAATCAAAGCATTATTACTATCACCCTCCCACCCAAGCTGCTCCATTTACTACTACCATCTACATTTATTTTTTGTTATTGGTTTTTAAAAGATCTTCACCTGAGGATATGGAAAGAGAAACATTGTCTGAGAGAGATGCATCCATCAGATGCTTTCTGTACTTGTCCTGACCAGGGATGGAACCCTCAACCTACATATGTGCCCTGACTGGGAATCAAACCTCAGTCTTTTGGTGTACAGGATTACACTTCAACCAACTGACTCACCCGGCCAGAGCTCAAGGTTTTTTTTTTTGTTTGTTTTTTTAATTTGTTAATTAAAAAAATTTATATTGATTTCAGAGAAGGAGAGGGAGAGAGAGATAGAAACATCAATGATGAGAAGCATTGATCGTCTGCCTCTTACACACCCCACTGGGGACTGAGCCCACAACCAGGACATGGGCCCTGACTGGGAATTAAATGAACTGAGCTGGGCTCAAGTTGGATTTCTTCTTCTTCTTCCTTTTTTTTTTTTTTCCAGGGGAGAGCACAAACACAGCCACTACCACAAATCATTATGCAGCTGTTTCCCACATTTGGGGAAATGGCAGGGGTCAGCACATCCAGAGTGCGATAGATAAGCCCAATCCTGGGCAAACCACCTGCATGCTCATGGTATCTCCCCTGCCAGGTAAGTATCAAGTTGGACTTTAATATCTATTCAGGGACAGAGGTTGAAGCCTTCTCTAGATTCCCAGGAGGATAATCAGCAGGACTCTAATGAAAGGGGACATGGGTCTTGACTTGGGAGGATACAACTCCTGTTTCTGTTTACTCAGTTAGGGCACCTTTTCCCAAGGGACCACCTGGCTGCCCAGGAACTGCCAGCCAGCCTGCATTCATTCACTGGAATTCCTTGGCTCATGGTGCAGCCTGAGGACACTGAACATGAAGGCACACTCTCCAGCAACCGCACAGGAATTAGAGGAGGAAAGGAGTAACTAGTTCTTGCAGGGCGAGAAGGGAGGATACCGATTCCTTTAAAGTATATGGCAATTTGAATAAAAGTGTGGATTTGGTGACATTTGGTTTTCCATAGAGATAGTTAATAGGCAATCTCTTCAGGTCCAATACCTTTGATATTAATGTTATCAAAGATATTACTTCATTACTTATGGAGATACTGGCGAACTTTCCTTCCTCTAAGAACAATAAACAGATAATTCTGCTTTCTAAAAACTAAGTGTAGCTGGTGCCAAGTTAGGTTCAGTTTGTTTGCCTGTGTTCCGTGTTATGTGCATGTTTGCCCTTTTGACATTTTCCGGAACCTTCAGCTGCACGGAGCATGCTGATGAGTAGACCTTTCAATGGACTCCCAATGTGGGGATCCCGCTTTCCATGCAGAGCCTGATGTTTTGCGAAGTGCTGCTTGTTGGGGTGCCAGGGAGACCTTGAAAAGTGGAGCAGTCCACAAAGAGCGCTTTGTGTGACCTCCTGTGGCTGCAGCACGAGGAGAGGGTTCATCCTGTGTGAGTGCTTCAGGCTTGGCGCGTCACCTCTGAGATTAGCAAGGGCTGATGAAAGCTTTTTGCTCATTTGTTTGGCTTCAGTAACCAAGTATGTCAATGAAACGATAAGATGCAATTTTATTAATCACATCTCCAAGGAAAGCTACGCCTGGGAATTGTGTTCTTCAGAGAGTCCATTATGTTAGACACTTTCTTGGATGAGTCCAGAGTACCTCAGAACCAGAATGTTTTCAACCCAGGGAGTTGGAGATTAAAAATTCAATTCCTTTCTCGACCTTAGAAATCACAGACTTGACTTTCCAACCATTGTAAAACTGAGGAAAATAAATTTTTTCCCTTCAAACATCAAACACTGAAAAATAAGGACTGGGCCCTACCTAGTTTGGCTCAGTGGATAGAGTGATAGTCTGCAAACTGAAGGGTCACGGGTTCGATTCTGGTCTCAAGGCCACTTACCTCACTCAGTTGCAGGTCTGATCCCCAGCAATGGCAAAATATCCTTGGGTGAAGATTAACAACAGCAAAAGGACTGGTAGCAAACCCATGGGAATTGAGGTAGTTGGGGAAGATTTTATAAGGTGTGGGTGAGAAAGAAGCATCAAGTACATGCATTTATTTAGCAAATATTTGTTGAAAGTAAATTTTATGTGGGTATGTAGCGGTCTATGGTTTCTTTACCACCCCTGCCAAACAACTGAAAAAAAGAAATTGAGAAATGGATTTTTAAAAGCCAAATCACCATATATCATTCATATCTATGAAAGACTTCTATGTTCAAATGGAAATGCCGGTAAATAAAATCACCCAACACCAGGAAGAGTTTAAAAACAGATCCTAGTATAAAGCTGATGCTTTATTTTCATTTGAAATTTTGATCACAAATCCCACTCATTCAAAAGTTAAAGCTTTTTATTATTATTATTATTATTATCATTATTATTATTATTTTATTTTCCTGTTTAGCTAAGGTCTTTTATGTCAATAACTTGGCCTGATTATGTGCTAGGAAGTTTAAGCATTGTCAGAAATCAGGTCAGACTGACTGAAAAAACAAGTGCGCCAGGGACTGAACACAATGCCTGCTATTCAGTTTAGCTGTGATAATTTGTGGTCTTCTGTTGCCAAGTTTCTTTAATCAAGGACAAAAGGATATAAACTAGAGGTGGCTTACAAGCCCCATCTAGTGGCATCTTGAAGAAAAGCAGGTAAAACAAAAAATAAAACAAAACAAAAAAGGCTCCATGTCAAACTAGGTGAGTTATTAGTTTTCCCCCTGAAACTCTAATCAGGAGGATTAGTATGCGTGTCCTTGTTAGAAGTTCCTAAGTCAGCGATTCTCAATCACTGCAGAATATATTTAAAATAAAGAGAATCAGCCCAGCCGGCATGGCTTGGTAGTTGAGCATCCATCGACCTGTGAACCAGGAGGCCAAGGTTTGATTTCCCGTGAGGGCACATGCTGAGGTTGTGGGCTCAATCCCCAGTGTGGGGCATGCAGGAAACAGCCAATCAATGATTCTCATCACTGATGCTTTATCTCTCTCCTTCTCCTTTCCTCTCTGAAATGTATAAATACATATTTAAAAATAAAATAGAGAATCACTGAGGAAGCGCATTAAAAATGCAGATTCATAGGCTTTGTCCAAAAGAATCTGAGTTAGTAGGTCTGAGAGAGTAACCATCTTAATAGAGTCTTCACTTTGAAAAAGACTTCTCAGAATGCCTTAGGCATATCATAGTTGAACCTTTCCCCTATCTATTAGGAAGTCAGCCTATTTATTATTTTAAAGCAGGATGGCTGCATAGAGGTAGCAGCAAACAATTTAGAGATCAAATGAGCCTACATAGATTACAGATCAGGGACCCAAGATTTACGAGAAACATGGAGATAGCTGGCTTAGTTCTCCCCTCAAAGAAGTTGAAGCTGTTAGCCAAGACAGAAGGCTGACTTATTTTTTTAAAAAAAGTTTTATTTAAAAAATAATTATGATATGTATTTTTAAAATCTTCTGAGCTAAATTATTCTAATACAGTTTTTTTAATCCCCCCACTTACAAGAGAAAGCGTTTGGCCTAATTTTTCTCAAAGAGTCTTCTAGCACTAACCTTTCACAATTCTAACTCCTTCCCCTCCTATACCATTGATCTAAATATGAGAGTATTTCCATTTGTCTTATCAATAGTTCACTGATATAATAAATATGATCCTTTAATTCATTAAATAAATGAATGTTAATGGCTTTGGTCTCTAATCCTATTATGTTAACAGGAGACAAGGACACTATTAGAAGATAAGCTAACACTCTCTGGGAACCTGGTGTCGAGTGCTGGGCTTGGCTTTTGACAGTAAGATTAGACACTGACACAAGCACCTCCTTACAGAAGAGGAAGTGATGCCCAAAAAGGTTAACTGATCTGTCCCCGATCACACAGCTAGTAGGTTAAAGCCCGTATCTGGGCCTAGGTTTGTATTTAAAGTGCGTGTTCTTTCCGTATGTGTGATTTCCAACTAAAATCTCCAAACAGCCTTTCAGTAGCCAATTGTATTAATCTTTTCTCTAACGAAAAAATCTTTGACCAGAACTACTGAAAAGGAGAAAAAGTGAAGTATTTTATGGCCACTTTTATGTCCTTAGATATGTATATCTAAAATACAACAGGATAAATTTGTGTGCCACAGGGTAGTGGAGAAAATAAAGAAACTAAATGATCTGCCATTGACTGTATGACGACATTGCTATGGATATTTTATTCACTTTAAATATTGTGCTGTAAAACTGTCCAGAACAAGATCTGTGGTACACAGTAGGCAAGTACAAAGGCCAGCCAGCAGAGTATGTTTTGTTAGAGTGAGTCATTCTAAGACAAGAGAGAAGAAGCACTGACTGTGTACACTAGGAACATACTTTGAGGGAAACAAACTCATATCAAGGAGAAAGAAATAGATAAATGTTCTACGAGAGGGGAAACCTATTATAAATAAATTTCTTGGGATTAACAGAGGTGAAAACTTATATGTGAGGCTCTACTATGTGCCCAGTTTTTAGTTCAATACTGGCTAGAGAGCAGTTGCAAAATAAAAATTTGTTGAAAAGGATTTCAGTCACTAGAACACAGTTTACAAAGTCTCCCATTTAAACAACCTAACAATTTCTCTCTTCATTATCTTTACTTCATTAACTAGTTATATATTCTATAATTTACATAATAAATCTATTATTTAAAAACTTTCAATAGGTACCATTATGGCATTTCATTAGGCTGGAGTCTAAACTGCTTGGGTGAGATTTACTTTGGAATCACATTATCCAAGCAAAGAAAAACACAACCAGTTCATAAGACAGAACAAAAATGAAAAATGTGAGACAAATGTCTGCCTTAGAAGTTTATCAGTAACCTCTTATATATACACATGTATTCACAAAGTGGTTGAGAGTCCTTTTATATGATCCTTTAGATGAGGCTCAGTGGCTGAGAACTCTATAATGAGACACATGGTGAGAAACCATAAAGACTTTCAATGATCTTTTCTTCCCCTGAACTTTATTACCCTTTAGTTGGGGAGAGAAAGAAGTCCATTTTCATCTGCAGTATCTAAGATTTTACAGATCACTGGAGATTCAACCTAAAGAACAACAACAATAAAATTATTAAAAAGTTGCTAAGATGAATACTTTTTAAAATATTTTTATTGATTTCAGAGAGGAAGGGAGAGAGATCGAGAGATAGAAACATCAATGATGAGAGAGAATCATTGATTGGCTGCCTCCTGCTTGCCTCCTACTGGGGAGGATTGAGCCCGAAACCCAGGCATATGCCCCTGGCCGGACTGGAACCTGGAACCCTTTAGTTCACAGACTGATGCTTTATCCACTGAGCAAAACGGTGAGAGCTATGAATACTTTCTTTATTCAGTATTATTCTGCTGAATGAATACCTGTATATAAATTTGTTAAATGTATACAAGCACTTGTTTTAGATAAACCATAGTTATTTCTACAAATTAAGCTTTTTGAAAAACAATTTTTAGTCACCCATATAAAATACCTAAAAGATAGAGGATAAATTTTTATCTCTAAGTAAAAGAGATGACAGGGAGCCCTGGTCAGTGTGGCTCAGCTGGCTGGAGCGTTGTTACATACACCAAAAGGTGGCAGGTTGGCTTTCCAGT